ATTTTCTCAGAGACTTAGGTGGAATGAAAAACTCCAATCCTGGACCCTGGTTTCAGGACGCTGGGCAGGTGTTGTACTAGGGCTTTTAGAAGAGTCAGTACAGTGGTAGTGCAGTTCTGGGCTCCGCCCACCCAAAGAGTCCATGTGGCTGCAAGTGGGATTTGGTGACCATTGTTTTGTCTTCATGGTGCAGGTGTCAACAGAGCAGCAGGGAGATGCAAGAAAGAGAGCTGACAAAGGTACAACGTTTGAACATGAACACAGGGATTGCATGTGTTAGATGGTCAGGAGGACAGAGTCACAAAGGCATTAGCAGTATGGTTGTTGCTGCTAAAAGAGAGCCAGGATGCTGAATATCGATCATTTTGTGTTGATGATGAAAACCCCTGCAGGGGGAAGCCTTTTGTTCTGTTGGACTTTTCTTTCTGTTTTAAAACGCTTGTTGATGGCCCCATAGCAGAAATACTGCTACAGGGTGAGGCACAGGTGTGCAAATAGCAGGTATCATATATGTGATTTTGCTAATTTACGGGGTAGGGGGATGGCCGTCGGCTGTCAATCACTGTGTGTTCCTACGGTCAGCTTGGGCACACTGCTCTGGATGGTTGTCCACAGCACAGCCATCTAGAGCTCGGTGTGATATACAGTGAAGCACACAGACACCACCCCCTAGTAAAAAACACTCCTGCAACACAGTTAACCCTTTGATCGCCCCTCATGTTAACCCACCCTCCTACCCAGTGCCATTAGTACAGCGTCAGTGCTTTTTTTAGCACTGATCACTGTATTGGTGTCACTGGGGATGTCAGTGACAAAAAGTCAGTTCCCCCCAGCGTCAGAATGTCTGCCGCAGTCACCTCTATAATCGCTGTTACTGCCATTACTAGTAAAAATAAAAATAAAAAAATCCCAGTATATATACCACCATTTTGTAAACACTATAACTTTCACGTAAACCAGTTAATTTACACATAATTGGGATTTTTGTTTAGCAAAGGACTGTAGCAGAATACATTTTTGGACGAAATATGATATATTTTTACATTTTTTTACAGCACATGTTTAATAGCAAAAAGTAAAAAATATTGTGTTTTTTCTCAAAAATTGGCAGTCTTTTTTTTTATAGTGCAAAATGCAGAGGCGATCAAATACCACCGCGAACCGAAAGAAAGCTCAATTCATGGGAAAAAAAAAAAAGGACGTAAATTTCATTTTTGGGTGCACAGCATTGCATGATGTGCAATTGTCAGTTAACCTCCTTAGCGGTCTGATTATGTCAGTATTTCTGTGCTCAAAGAGGTACATTTGTTTTCAATGGAAATATGTTGTTTTTTTTATTGTAGGCCTGTAATTCTTAGGAATAACTCACTGAAATCTGTCCGAACAAGACTCTAGTAAACATCCCGGGTATGATAAAATTTGAAACACTAAATCATAAATTATAATATAATATAATAATCATAAAAAATAATAAAATAATAATAATACTAAATGTAATTCAATAATGCAATCAAACCAAAAACACTGAAATTTAATATAGAGAGCCAAGTTCACACATCACTGAGCTTAGTCGCAAAATCGTTTTCAGTGTCTGATGACAAATTTCCCCACGAATCATTATCACTCAATTCTGCAAGTGGTCCTAATTTACTATCGCTGTTCTCTAGCTGGTTTAAAACCGCTTTTGACCTAAAGGGACGCTTTTTGGACGCCATGGACGTTTCTCAGTTTCAAGGCAGGAAGAACAGTAAAAATGCAGTCAGGGCACAGGACAAAGCACTAGGAACAAAATATATGTGAAATGGTTTGATACAGTAATGTGATACTATCAGATTTTAGTGTATTAAGTGAATGTCACATTTTTACATTTTTTGAATTTCCCTGATGTTCGCCAGGGAACGGAACCCGGAAGAAAGAAGCAAGAATCTGCCAGAGGAGATGACCGGGAACTGCAGGGGGGGACATTGTGGGAGCGCAGGACAAGGTAAGTGCTGGAGGGATCCCAGAGCAATGCTGCAGGGTAATCCCGAGTGTAGCTCGGGGTTACCGCTTCTGGTACTGAAAGTTAATCCCAAGCTACTAACTCGGGAATACTGCCAGGGGGTTAAAGTGATGCAGCGGAAAAAATGGGCCTGGTCAGGAAGTGGGGGTAAATCCTTAGGAGGGCAAGTGGTTAATAAAAGTGGGCCAAAAAGCCCTCAAATGGTATATCTGGCATGGACTGTACTCACTGCTGTCGAGTGCTACACTTGCTAAACAACTCCCAAAATCACAGAATATAAAGTAGACAGAGAAGTATAATAGAGCTTTGAAGAGTGCTTAGTACAAATGCCTAAAGGGAAAGCCACTTTTTTGAAGGATTCCAAGGACTCAAAATTTGAGGGTGTGTTCTTATAGCTGATATATACTGCATACATAAGACACTAAAAAGCCCCCAATGAAGTTATGAAGAAGTAGGTGTGTGATATTTCTCCATTTTACTTCACATATGGCCCTCCACCTTGCAAACAGGAGTTTACACTTGCATCAAACAGAGGCATCTATAGGCATGTTTACTGTGTTCTACCTTGATACCCTGGTAAAAACATAAAACTATGAATGCATTAGTTCTCTAGCACTATGGTTTAATTCAAATCCATCTACCTTTGTTAGCTTACCACAGTCAACATTAAGTCCTCATGCACACTGAATGTTTTTACAGCTGCTGTTTTTGGCTTTTGACATTTTTTCTACAGCCATTAAACTCCCCAGCATGTTATCCTATGTGTCCATGCACACATAGACTGTAATCAACGTTTTGTTGGCAGGGATGTTTTTTGACTTGAAAAAAAACCCAGAACTAGTGGGTTTCTAAGTTTTTTAGCTGTAAAAATGCTCTAACGCTGAAATACGTGGCCTATAACGTGGTAAAACGCAGCAAACTGGCGTTTTTGGACCTTTTTTTGAACAAAAACAATTTTTTTTGGTAAAAAAAAGCTATAATACGCAAATGTGGAAAAACACCGCTAATCACAGCAAAACGCCACTAAAAGCTAATTCAAAAATATTAACAGAAGGCGAAAAACTCACATTTTTAAGGTGACTTTACACAGCTAACATTACCAGCATTTTTTTCTACAGCCAGTAAACTCCCCAGCATGTTATCCTGTGTGTTCGTGCATACATAGGCTTTAATCAGCGTTTTTTGGCAGGAGCGTTTTCTGGCTGGGAATAAAAAACAGAACTAGTGGGTTTCTAAAGGAAATTTTTTAGCTGTACAAATGCTCTAATGCTGATAAAAGCTGAAAAATGCAGATAAAACCTGAAACACGCTGATAAAAGTTGAAAAACTATAAAAAAGTGGCTATCTGGCTTTATGAGCATTTTTGAGCCTGAAGATTTTGTGAGAGTATAAGTTTGCTAAAAAAAAAAGCAAACGCTGAAAAAAGCTAATGCAAAAAAAGGTACAAACCGCAAAAAAAAATTTGTTTTTTATTGCAGCATTCTACAGCTAACGCTACTGGTGTTTTTATAATGTCCAGTGTGCATGAGGCCTTACAAGTGAAGCTTTCTACACTAATAACTTAGCACAATAACTGTGTTAATAATATTAATCATTTGAATGGAATCCTATAATTGCCATTCACAAGCTCAGAGGAAATGTATAAGGTAGTATTTACTGCAGATGCTAACTAACCCATTAAAAGGCTGTCGCACATATACCATATTTTTCGCTCCATAAGACGCACCTGACCATAAGACGCACCTAGGTTTTAGAGGCAGAAAACAGGAAAAAAAAAATTCTGAACTAATGGACTGCAGACACAGTACAGGAGATGACCAGAGAATGCGGACAGCACAGGGATGACCAGAGACTGCGGACCTCACAGGGGATGACCAGAGACTCCGGACAACACAGGGATGACCAGAGACTGCGGACAGTACAGATGACTGCTGACCTTTGGAGAGGTGGGGAGCGGGTACCTGAATTTGACAGGTACCCGCTCTTACTTCTGCAGAGTTTTTGTTTGATCTTACCTGTTCCTCGATCCAGCCGCGTGCTGTCTTCCCGGCTTCTGTAATGGCGCTCGGCATGACAGCCGGGTGCCTAGTGAGCATGAGCGAGAAGCACTTGCGCTTTGTGATTGGTCCGGCGGCTTCTGGGATCTGTCATGTGTCCCAGGTACCGCCCTACCATTCACAAAAGCACCGCTTCTTGCGCATGCAGACTTGGCACCTGGCTGTCATGCCCAGTGCCCACACTACAGAAGCCGGAAGACAGTGCGCCGCTGGATAGAGGAACAGGTAAGATCAAAGAACAAAGAAGTAAAGAGCGGGTACCTGTCAAATTCAGGTACCCGCTCCCCCCCTCCCCAAAGGTCAGCAGTCATCTCCATGAGGTCCTGCTGCAGAGCTGAGCGGCCGGCCCGGTATTCTGACACGGCCACGGTGGAAATACCGGACCGACCGCTCCATATTCGCTCCATAAGGCGCACTGACATTTTCCCCCCTTTTTTTGGGGGAAAAAAGTGCGTCTTATGGAGCGAAAAAATACGGTACTCCCTTTTTTTAAAACATTCATGTAAGATTGGAAATATAGAATGTCACTTATGTTTGCATTTATTCTATTTATTTCAGGTACTTATATAGCTAGCGCTGTCAATTTATGCAGCGCTTAATAGGTGAACCGAGCAATGGTTGTCCTTCATCCCAATTTCTTCTAACTTTTTCTATATCACAATACATGATGCATTTTACATGCAGTTTCCATTGAACTCTGTGGAGCTCTAAGCTGCACCGCACAACTCCAAAGATGCACATGACCTTTTTTTTAAAATTGCACTGCATTTGGACTGCATATGTATGTGAATGTTCCCCATAGAAAATAATTTTATTTACCACATCATGCAATTCCAAGTTATCTGAAATGCATCCTAAATCACATCAGTATGAACCAAGGCTTACTGAGATTGAATGTGCAATGTCAACTAGGCCAGCATGTAGGCCAGTTATATTGGTCCCAGGGGCGGACTGACCATTCGAGCACTCGGGCACTGCCCATGGGCCCAGGATTAGTAGGGGCCCATGAAATGCCACTGTTATCCTGTTTTATAGGCTTTTTTGGTGTGGGCAAGGACACAGGGGCCCCATGGTTGCCTATTGCTCGGGGGCCCCATGAGTTGTCAGTCCGCCCCTGATTGGTCCCATAGGTATAAACACTTTCTTTAGAGGTTATTGTCACAATGTTCCATTTAAAAAATATGAAGGTTTTGTATCTATTTTACTGTTTGATTAACTTGGTAGTGCAGATAACCAAGTTGTTGAAGTCAGTAATAAACTTGTCCAAGTTATCCCAAAGACCTTTTAGAGGTTTTATACTATAAAATAAAATTATCAACACATATTTATGTACTCTTGCACACAAAACAATTATTCATTTGGAAAAAAAAGATTGGGCCATATATTGTTGTAATGTACACTTTTCTTCTTTTCTGTTTTGACTTTTTTTTTCTTTTTGTCCATATCCTTTGTTCCTTTCTTTAATTCCTTCTGGGGGCTCCTGCTCAGTTTCCCACTACTACTGGGGGATTGAGATAATTAGCCTTCTGCTAAACAAAACATATTTGGGGGGGGGGGGGGAGCAGATTCAGTAAAGGTGCTGCACCACTTTTCTGGTGTTAATCACACTTGTTAATGTATTACATTAAATCCATGAAGCATCCAACACTTTTGGTTCTGACAATGACTCCTGCACAAAATTGAGTTCTGAAATGCTCCACTTTTACATCGTGGCACATTCAATATGCTAAATTCAAAATAAAATACGGGCTGCTCAAATCATATGGATGTGGAACTAATTAAGACCAACCCTCTTTTGATGTACAGAAACAGAAACTGGCATATGGATTTTGTGAAAGTGTGCCACATACATGCATCAACGTCAAGTACAAGTTCTAGACAGATACATGAATTTAGCACAATCTGTACCACTTTTAGAAGTCATAAGAGACACTTTCACAAAATCTGTTATCGCCAGTCTTTATGAATTCCAGAGACTGAGCGCAATTCAATATAGCATTTGTGACACTTATCTGGTGTTATAGATGTCCAGTGCGCCAAATTCATAAAGGCTGTGTGTCAGTTATAATGCTTAATACAATACAAATCCAAGTAGTTCTTGCTAGTAACATTTTTACATTATGTTGTAAAGACTACAACAAATTCATAAACAAATGTCCCTATGCTGTTAGGAAGGAAAGTAGAGGTAATAAGACTTGACCCATTTTGAAGTAAGAAAAGAGAGCATGCGATAGTGGTGAGGAGTGAGTGAGTGGGAAATTGTGGTGAGGGGAATTTGTGGGAAGGTGCAGGAGAGGAAGAAATTAAAGAGCATCAGTTGAGCTGCCAGGAACCTGGCTCCCTCTTTGGTCAGGTTTGTGGGCCCTACCTGTGTCAATGAGGCACCTGAGACATCTGAGGCAAAATAAGTAGAAAAGATATTTCCAAGTGAGGGAAAGGATATGGGGGGTGAGCTGGACCATGGAAGTGTGTGCATATACTTTACTCTATTTAGGTTTCTGTGCTGCCTAGGCAAACCTCCAATTAGACGCCCCCCCATCTGAGATCCCATCTGACTCACTGCCACAGAATGTATTCGTTGGGCACCGCTGAAGCCATGATGGCAAGGAGAGTCTGTCTGACACAGTCCAGCATCTTGTGGATCCCAGCGGAGACTTCTACAAACATAACGGTATGTGTGAGGACAGCGGAGACTTCTACAAACATAACGGTATGTGTGAGGACAGCAGAAGACTTCTACAAACATAATGGTATATTTGAGGAGGTGTCCCTGGAGATGACTCATCTCCTCTACACCATCCTCAGGAGCTCCTTCAGTGCCTCACCTGCTTCCCCTTCCTCTGTCACCTGTCATGTGTGTCCATTCACCTGGGGGCTGCACTACCCCCCTGAAAATGCCACCTTAGGCAAATTCCTTGTTTGCCTTGCAGTAAATACGCACCTGACTACAGTACAATCACTGGTGCTGGCCATCAACAAATTCTTTTGGATCCTGTATCAGTTGTTACATTTATTTATTTGCCAACACACTCTAAAATTCTTTAGATTTGTTACAATGTATCTCCTGTTAAGAAAATGTATTGTATTGTAATGTATTATTTGTTACAAATCTTGTGAGAGTGTATACTTGTGAGCTACTATGGTGGTACAGAAATACTTGTAAAAAAATTAATTAACTCCTTCAAATATAATGGTGCATCAACACATAAAAACACATACTCAAAATACTGTGTGACAATGATTAAATAAGATATTGGATGTGTCGCGCTCCTCAAAATAAATTTTTGCCTAGTGATGTGTGATATATATAAAATAAATAAATCTAAATAAATATTACATAAATATTAATACATTGTGATGTAAATATATATTAAAAACTCCCAGTGCTGTAATTAATTGGATTGTGATTAAAAAAAAAATTTTTTTACTGTGCAGAAAATTAATTTGTATGACATAAAAAAAATGTGCAAAGAAACCCTCCTTGCACCGTGATATGTATGTGCAAAAATAAATATGTGCAAATTTGCAAATATTGCCCCAAAACAATAATGTATGATAAATATATATATAATGGAGTGTAATAATCAAATTAATATATAAAAAATAAATAACAATAAAAATAAAAAATAAATAATGATGGAAAACTGTGCAAGCAATACTTCACTTATTGCAACAAAGGATGGTGATGTAAGCTGTATATTTCTTATCCTTTAGCTTTAAATGACATATGATAGTCCCAATTTGTTTGTGCAAATTATATTATTATTGAGGTAGTCTGTGGTTCTACTTTCCTTCAACTAGATGGCCTCCCAATTCCTTCTGGTTGTGAGGGCTGGATGGATGGATATAGATATCTCCCCTCGTGTTGTCCAGGGTCTATTTCCTATCACCTCTTCTCCCCTGTATTCCTCCGGTTTAGGCCATAAAAGAAAGAGATACCCACATGGTGTTTTATCCTTTATAAAGGGGTTTAATGCGTTTCCAGACAAATGCGAACTCACATTCCACAAGATAATACAGAGCGTTTTTATATAGATGTGTGCCCTCACACAAAGACAGTACTCGCCGTTCCGCTGCTATTGGCGTCCTGACGTTAGAGCCCCTCCCTACGAGTTGCGCCACAGGGTCACGTGGCTTCCTCAGGGGGCTCTGACGTCACGACGCCAATAGCAGCGGAACGGCGAGTACTGTCTTTGTGTGTAAGGAGGGTTTCTTTGCACATTTTTTATGTCATACAAATTAATTTTCTGCACAGTAAAAATTTTTTTTTTTTTTTTTAATCACAATCCAATTAATTACAGCACTGGGAGTTTTTAATATATATTACATCACAATGTATTAATATTTATGTAATATTTATTTAGATTTATTTATTTTATATATATCACACATCACTAGGCAAAAATTTATTTTGAGGAGCGCGACACATCCAATATCTTATGTATTATTTGTAGCTCCATCTACTTCCCATAATCTAGCATTTTCCTGCTTTAAGTTCCTTATTAAATAAATGCTGCTATAGTTCTCACAGTATTGCTAGTGATTCATGTACATACATTGCAACATTAATAACCCAATTGTTAGACAGATTTCTAATCAAATCCTTGGACTGTCTTCTAACATGTTTTACAATGTGAATTTGTGAGCAAAAGATAAACCTTTAATCAATTAGAAAGAAAACCATACCTTCAAAAACTTAAAAAGGGTGTAAATGATCTCACAAATGGAATCTGACTGAACATTTGGCCTTGAAATAATTAGTATTACCTTTCTTTTTTATGCTGATGATGAAGGATGAACTTTGTATTCAGACCAAACCCTTGTTCAGTCCAAGTTTTACATGTTTGGAGTTTCTGTGAACAGCTGAACTAAATAGGGTATTTGGCTGAGCCAAATCTCTGGCTGCAGAAGGAAGTGGCACATCTATCAGCAGTATTATTATCACTGCTAAATGTGACAGCTTCACGCTTAGACTGGTTGGTATGACTTACCACTCAGCTGTCAGACAGGGATTTAAACTGAATTTCCTTGTCTTTGTAAATGCCACTTTGGCTGTGGTAGATTGTACATATTGTACAGAAATGCCACATCAGCGGAAGATTCACAGCATTCTCCAAGCATTTATTTAATAGAATTTTGGATTTTTAATGTTTCAGTTTAAGCACTATTAAGGCTTTATTCACATGAATGTGATTTTCCGATGCAACTTGAGTTGCACAAAGTCGCATGACAAGGGACACAATTGTACCTGTTCTCCATAATGCGACTTAGCGCGGTATGATTTTGGAAAAGTTTCCTTTGCTACTTTGAATTACAGTGCAGCTTGATCCCATAGAATATGCAAAAACACAACCAAGTCACATCAAAGTTGCACTACATAATTACACTTAAAATTGTCCCAAAGTCGCATCTCATTAGTGTGACCAACTGACCCTAAAATTACAACTCTCTGCCAAACTGATTTTTCTAAAACAGTTTTTGCATTGGCACATGTGCCAGTTCCCACAGCTTCATGCCCTTGCCTGTTAGCCTAGAAAATGGCAATTACTAATTTCTAAGTTTTGGCTCTCATTAATTTCAATGGGGTTTTGGATTTGGCATCTGAACTTGCATAGAAAGCACACAAATTGAAAACCTAATTTGGCTCATCACTAAAGTTGTTTTTCTTTCTAAATGCTGCTGCTCCTGGATGCACTGACAGTGAGCTTTTTTCTGCCTCTAAACTCCTCCAAAAAGCCTACGTGTGCACGGACACATAGGCTAACATGCAGGGAAGTTAGAGCCCTGGTTCACATTGATGCGGGTGCGGAATTTGCAGTGTTTTCTGTGCGAATCAGCATTGCACCCCATTCATGCGAACCGCTGTGGGTGTGTATGTTAACAACAACCCGAAAGCAGTCCAAAAAATGTGGTGCGATGTGCAGAATCGGATCGCATAGGTGTGAATACCCATGTGATCCAATTCTAGTGCGGACCCAAAAAAGGGTCCTGCACCTTTTTGTTGCGGGTGCGGTGCGATTAGAGCCATACAAAATGGCTCTACACTTGTGGCTGTGGGGGTAGCAAAAATGAGCATTTCTGCAGCCCACCAACTGCTCCCCTTAAGCTGCAAGGGGGTGTTTTCAATTGC